TCCTCACAACTACGAGGTTTTTAGACAAAACATGTTGTGCACGAGCGCCATCCACGGCATTGCCCTATAGACATAGACCACAGCAATAAAGTAATAAAATGATGTAGGATGACACTAAGCCAGCGCGTTCTTTATCTCAGGTGCCACACTCAAGCGGCGGCCATATTGAGTGGGGCACCGGAGATAAAGAACGTGCTGGCTTACTGTCATCCTACATCATTTTATTACTTTATTGCTGCGGTCTATGTGTATAGGGCAATGCCGTGGATGGCGCTCGTGCACAACATGTTTTGTGTGCAAACATCGTAGTTCTGAGGAAACCGGAAGTCATGCGGTCCCACAACTCGATAAGTTCGCACTTTCGACACATCACCGGCGCTTCCGTACTGGGCTGCCCAGCTGTGACACTGCTCCGCTGCCATGGTAACAGGCGTGAGTGACACGAGGGAGGAGCGGCGAGGGGCGGGACCCCGGCGCACTGTAAACAAAACCAAACTTTATTGCGCAACCGATGCACGAGAGCCAGCCAGTCAGCAGCGGGAGAGGAAGCGGCAGCTGGAGATACACTTCTGGTTGCGGCTGGACACCTGTGCCTCCGCTGCCACACGCAAGATGGCGGCCAGGATGTGCGTTAAAAGGGTTGATGCGAAAGTGAAAATTTTGTTCCGGGTTCACCGTGGATGATATTTTACGGTCGGAGGAGGGTTTGGGTTCGGTGGGTGTTAAACGGCGATGGTTGGGTGTGTATGGCTCTCCTGCTGCTGTAGAAGTGACTTCACGGCGATCAGGAGTCAGGCTTCCTGTGGTGACAACTGCTGTGTTGTGGTTTCTGTGTGTGTGAGGTGTTGTCATCGTATGTATCAGTACTATAGCCTGTTCACATTTCACAAGCTAATATTTATATTAACTTCCCATTTACAGGCAGGTAGAGCTGCCCCGGGAAAGTGACAGAGGCAGGGGTTGGGATTGACCATAACACTTCTGGTCTTGCTTTCAATGGTCACATTTTTTTCAAATAGTTTATATCTTAAAAAAGAGTGTAAACCAGAGGTAAGGCCTTACCATAACCATACCACTGCACTGGGCTTTGAATACACAGCATTCAAAACCCGGAATGTAAGAATTGAAGCCTGCAGAGCATTGCAACTGTGATCAATGCATTGCAGCAGCAATGTACAGGCTCCTATAGCCTATTCCTGCAGCCTTTCTGGTATGGGAGTGGAGGAGGAACTCAATGGACTACAGGCGTGATGATGTCACTGCTCTGCTGTTTGAGCGATCTAGGAGTCCTTCTGGCACAGTGGCAGATGGGACTTGTAGTCTTCCCATTCACAGAGCCCTGTAAATGAATGATGCAGCTGTGTGGTAGCAGCCACATACTGCTGAGCTACATTCAAAACAACACATCTATGCAGGGAAAAGAACCCCACAATTCAGGTGAGAATGGTGGGGGGCTGGGGAAGGTGACCATGTTGCATTCTGAGTAAGGGTGAAACATGGTATCAAAGGTGGACTGAGCCTTTAAAAAAAACAGTGCACAGCTGTAAAGCACAGCACTGAAGCTTCATCCAGATGAATGCATAGAGCTGGGAAGGGAGCCAAGTCAAAGTCATTTGACCAGCTTCTCCTCCAATCACCGAAGGCAGCCGTACAAGCCAGAAGTGAATCGCCGAACAGTGCTCGGCTCAGGTATTCACTTGGCAGCTTAGTGAAATACCCTCTATATGTTCAACTGGTGATCATGCTAATACCACACTTCCTGCCCTAGAGTGACAACACTCACTGTACTTTATCTATGGAGGAGCTCTGTTGTCACCCTAGGCTACTCTCCTCATTTGGTCTACAAACACCTCTCCCTTTCATCTCCATAACATAGGGAAGAGTTCTTCTTTTGTTTACAGAGGGAAAACTGAGAAGGCTAAAAACATTGCTTGCCGAAAATATACTTAAAAGAAGGAAAACTAATGCAGCCCACACATCTGAGGACTGGTATTCTGCAGTATATTGCATTTTTGTTCTTGGGTTTAGGTATACCTTTTAAGGGGGTATGGAATTTGTTGGTACTAGACATGATAGTAGCAATAGACCTATATACGGGAATGAGCGGGGACTGTGGAAATTGTTCCCAAAACAGGCCAAGCTAAACATAAAGGACTAGTCACCAGTTTTGTCTGTTTTCCCCATTCCTGCCATACCATGCCTTGTTCTGTAGTGTGTCTCTTGTGGAGGTGGCCATCTTGATGGAGTAACAGGGCTTTGCTTCATCGGGTCAGAGCTGTCACCTGATGACTGGTGGGGGGATGTTTGGGGAAACGTCAGGAGAGGTCCAGAAAGCACGGATCCTCAAAATGGATAAAGCAATGTAGGTCCTAAGGTGCATCTTTCTCTCCACCAGGGAAGACCATGAACAGCCCAGTAAAAACATCACTATGGGCCTGTGTTTTGATGTGCATTTGGCATTAACAGACAAGTTTATTGGAATGCTAAGCCTGCTTGAGGGCTAGTTCACACCAGATGCAGTCCGTTCCGTATTTGAGCTGCATCAAAAACACATCACAATGCTTTTCTATGGGATTTCTTTTGCTCTGTTCACACCATTACAGTCCGTTCCGATGCAGCCAGAAAAATACTGCTTGCTCTATTTTAGCTCTGTCGGAAAGCATCAAAAGGCACCTGAAATCCCATTTTTAGCACACAAAAAACCCCCAAAACGCATCAATCGAGGCAAAACGCATAATTCCACAGGTGTCTAGACACATGCGGATCTCATGCAGTTCTGGTGTGAACTAGATGCCGGTTACATGCAGCTGTCAATCAATTCTGAATGATCCCCGAAGTGTCTCAAAATAATGCCAAACATGCCGTCAACACAAGTCCAAAGCCTGTCAACGCGGGCCCCAAACTTCGCTCAAAATCTGTGTGGCAGGCTTGGTGGCTTAGATGATCTCACGCTGGAGATATGCGGCTGTAGCCACAGGAAGTCCACTGCTATTTTTCAGGAGGAATTGATGATAAAAGGTCCTCTATAGCATAGCAACCCTTTACAGTTCAGTCTAAAGGGATTGAAATTTTGCTGCAATGAGCTTTGGTCGTTTATGTTTTCATGTTATTTCAGGTATGATGAGAAGCAATGAAACACACTGAGATTGTGGCCGATGCCTTTGATGTTTCTCCTGTTTTTGAAGAACAGAAAAACATTTCTACCTGTGAGTATTCTGGTTTTCTTCTTCAGCATTCAAGTTTGGTCAGGGCCCATCAACCATAGGGAGCTTCACTAGGTGAACAAAAGCTGACAGCACCTCAAGCCGTTTAAATACATTACATTAAATGTGCTTACAATTAAAGTGACAAACTCGGGAATTAAATCTTAAAAATGCATTCAAGTACCTTTTCTCAAGGAGAACTATGAGTTGAGTGCTTTTCACTCACCTCATAGTTCTAGCCGACCTGTGACAATGAGACTGTCACAGGTCGGCTCAGTAGATCGGGAGGAGAGCAAACACATACCGGCGTTCGCTCACCTCTCGATCCTGTCACGGCTCTCTGCCGTGCCAGGGGAGGGGCTGGATTCCCCCCTCCCCCAGCGCTGACTGGCGGAACGGACGGGGAGGGTACAGCTGGCTCTGCCTCTAGATAGGCAGAGCCAGCTGTCACTCACGCAGCTGGGCAGATCCAGACATAATTGTCGGGATCCGCTTCAGCTGCGGCGTCTCAGTATACCGTGAGCTGTAGCTTGCGGTATATACTGAGCTTAGGGTGACGGGAGGACGCTAGTTGGTGTCCTCCCGTTACCCTAAGGAGAACTATGGGGAAAAGCCTTAACCCCATAGTTCTCCTTTAACCACTTGCTGCCCCTAGCAACTAGGTGATGCACCGATACCAAGTACGGTACGAGTACATGTACCGATACTTTTCGAGCACCAAGACTAGACTAGAGAAAAATTCAAAAGTTAGGAGGCAGCTGTCATTTGTAAGGAGCAACCGGGATTTTTAAATCTCTGTTTTTAACGTATGGTTTTGTTTTTATAATTAAAGTGATGCACTGATAAGTTTTGCGAGTACAAGTACTGATACACTTTTATTTATTGTCATGTGAGTTTTTCTAAAACAATATCCACTAATGATTTCAGGACAGTGGTGGAGCGCTAGAGCCAGGTCCCAGCTGCAACCCTGGTAGTTTTTGTGTAAATGCCAAGTATCGGCACTGGTACTCAAAACGTATCTGTGCATCCCTACCAGCAACTTTCTCTCTACATTTGCGCACACACATGATAAAATCTGAATTTTTGGCTAGAAAACAGTTTCAAACCCCCAAACCATTATATATTTTCTGAAAGCAGAGGCCCTGTAGAATACAAAGATGCTGGTTGCAATTTTTTATGTTGCACGGTTTTTGCACAAATGTTTATCAAACCAGTATTTTTAGGATAAAATACACTAAAATTAAATTTAGTGCACAGAAACAGGAAATAATGCCAAATTCTTTGGTAAAATATAAGACAGGGACACGCCGGGTAAATAGATACCAAACATTTCAGGCCTTAAAATTGCGTCAGTCTGCGGAACCACAAAAAACTACAATACCTAAAATTTCCCACAGGCGACGCTTTTAAATTTTTTTTTTACGGCTCGTCAGTTTAGTGCTAACCGTGATTGATGGGCCTAGAATTATTGCTCTCACTCCGCCGCTCGCAACAATATGTAATGTGTGGTGCAATTTTTGCTTTTGCACGAAGTCGCATCTGGCGCTTGTATGTGGGAGTGGCGGGGGGCTTAAAAAAAAAATGTTTATGCTAACACTCGGCTTTATTGCTATTGCATAGGGGGCTAACAAGTCCCCTATGTAATAGCAAATATAATGTGACAGGTCCTCCTTCCAGACCCCTAATGTCACTTAGGGGCCCCAAAGAAGCTGAGGAAGCGGAGATCTGCTTCACCAGCTTCTTCTGGCTCTAGGAGCCAGAGAGTGTGCACTGTGACATCGGAAGTGATGTAATGCAATGCACATCACTTACGGGTCCAATGATCGGCGGAGAGATTCGCGGCTAGAAGCCGCTGATCTTTCCTCCGATTATATCAGGGAAGACCCTCACACGAGGGACAGTGGAGCCTGGGAAGCCAACGGCGACATCGACGAGCATGCACTGGTGCCACCACAACATCTACTTAGCTGCTGGTGGCACCCATGCAGGAGGTGAAGGGAAAGCGCCTCAGGGACCCACTAGAAAACGAGGAATTAAAGGAATAATAAAAAAAAAAAGCACACAGGATCTGCATCCCACACGGGTGTCCTGTGTATACAAATAAGAAAAAAAAAAAAAAAGTTAAGCTTTAATGTCACTTAAAATAAAAACATGGCATCCTCTGTAGAGAAATTGTATTGCAGTATCCCAAAACGGCCACTAGATGGCAGTGATGCTTAAGTTTACAATAGCCATATACTTTTATAGTTTGACACAAATTGATATAAGGGGCCCTGAGGAAAATCAGCAGCCTGATTCATCCCATGATAGTAGAAATACAGTATCTTGCTCCACATTTAACATTTTGACTAAGGGATCTAATCTGTGAATCCAGCTAGTCTCTTCAGTACTCGGGTTCTTGAAATGAATGTGCTTTGCTCATTCTCTGTCTCCTTGCCAGAGCACCAGGATCCACTACAGTTTTCTTTCGGTCATGGTTGATAACACAGTATAGCAAACGTAGGCTGACTGTTTTGTCCCTATTTGGGGGCAAACAATCAAACGTTGGTTAGTGCAGAGATACAAATGCCAGCAAATATTTTAATTGCCCTTTGTAACCCTATTGGAGCTAATTCTCTATCACCACAAGACAAACTGAGGAAATGGTGTTACAAGGAGTTGGAGACGAGGGCAGCTGAAGCTAGGCTTCAATGTAAATTTAAACCTACGAACAGTCCAAATTATGAAAGGAGCCTAGGGTGTCAATGCTGCTTCATCGATACAGTACAGTGAATGAGAGTTGTCACACTAGGATAGGAAGTGTTACAGGCAGGATCAATAGATGAAAATAAGGTGAAAGCAGCCTGAAAAAGGAAATTACTGCAAAATTCTTTTGTGTGTTTTATAGCTTTATAAGTAACCTGATGAACGGTACTAGCTGTACATATTATTCTTAACTAACCTCAGTACACAGCTAAAAAATTTTTTTTTTTTTTTTTAAGGTGAAGCAAAATAGTAAAACAAAATCATTCTGGCTAGATCAGCAAGCACAGGGGAAGGTGGACATAATATTTAAAAAAGTAGAGAAGAAATTAAGGCTGCTGTGGCAAAAAATCAAAGATGGGTCTGCAACAGACAAAGGTAGGTTAGCAAATAATTTCTGGCTAATCCTGGATCCAATCATTTCACTTTCATTGTGCTTGAATTGGGTTTTCCTTTCTTGATGTTTGTAATGCACTTGTAAGACCCTTGTTTAAGAATACTCGCTGTAAGAGATGGCCCTTTTCCCAGAGGCATTCTTTATGATGCCCCAATTCCTACTGCAGCCCCTGAAAGATCTTATTCAAATACTGACCATACCCTCTGGCCCCCATCAGATAACATTACTTTTGCCTATCATCTGACTGTCTGCACTCTCACATTCAATGCCTCATCTCTCCTACGATATTCTTGAAACTGTCACACGTCGGCTTTATTGATCGGGAAGCCAGCGAACCAATACCGCTGATCGCTTACTTCCCGATCATCTCCCTACAGAGTGTGGTGACTATTGGTCATCGCTCGCCGCAGGGATTTCCCCCCTCCATTCTCCGATCCTCCCAGCGCTGACTGGAGGAACGGACAGGGGAGGGGTCGGGCACAGCTGGCTCTGACTCTAGATAGGCAGAGCCCGCTGTCAATCATCCAGCGGGGTGGATCTCAACAGTATTGTCGGCATCCTTTCCTGTTGCGATGCGGCTCTGCGATCTTGGTATATAGCAGGCAATAGAGTTTTGGGTCACCAGAGGACATTAATATATGTCCTCTCATGACCATGAAGTGAACTATGGGCAAAAAAGTTTGCCCCATAGTTCTTCTTTAATACTAAAAGCAGCCCCCCCCCCCCAGTTCCCTCCATATTAAAGGAGAACTATGAAGTGAGTGCTTTTCACTCAGCCTCATAATCTGAGCCGACCTGTGACAATGAAACTGTCACAGGTCGTCTCAGTAGATCGGGAAGTGAGCGAACACATACCGGCGCTCGCTCACTTCTCGATCCTGTCACTGCAGAGAGCCGTGACAGGGGAGTGACTGGATTCTCCCCTCCCCTGTCCGATCCTCCAGTGCTGACTGGCTGAACGGACGGGGAGGGGGTGGGTACAGCTGGCTCTGCCACTAGATGGGCAGAGCCAGCTGTCACTCACGCAGCTGGGCGGATCCAGACATAATTATCGGGATCCATTTCAGCTGCGGCGTCTCAGTATACCGCAGTATACTGAGCTTTGGGTAACAGGAGGACACTAGTTTGTGTCCTCCCGTTACCCTTCGGAGAACTATAGGGAAAAGCCCTAACCCCATAGTTCTCCTTTTAAAGTGACACTAAACTCAGGAGTTAAATCTTAATACATTTAATACCATAACTCTTTAAAAAAAAATGTTATCTCATTTGTGTATCACTCGGCTGTAGATCCTCAAATCATCTCTGAATTGGTGCAGACACTGTCCTTTCTACTGGAGGGGGGCTACTTTTGGTGCCTGGGTGTGTTGTAAAGTAGACCCAGTGATGATTTTTAGGACCTTCAGCCGAGTGATACATAAATAAGATACACACACCACTGTTCCTCACAGCAAAATAACGGTCCTTGACTTTGGGATTTGTAACACGATATGTAGTGCTGTATGTGGAAGACTAATTATCCCACCTCTGCACAATTGACTACTCCAATTTCGCAGAGACATCTACAGTACATGTGATGGCATTGGTGATAGAGGTTTCACAGCTACAATCCAGGGATTGGTAGAGAGCCGTGGCATGAGAAGGGCAATCAGTAAAGAGCTTAGTACAACCTCTATGCACCGGTACTGTTAGATGGGATACTAAGAACAGTGGCATGAGTCACTTTCAATATTATTTCTGATCTTTTCCTGGAATATAGCTGCTATTAAACATTTTAACATAAAAAGTTACAATTTATGTTTAGTGGTCCTACAAGTCTGCATCATTATGCGTTTTGCTGTAGGTGATCTGCGTTTTAATGTTTTGCTTTTTTAGAATACTCAAGTGCCTACCTGTTGGTGAGTGAAGACGTTTTACTAGCTCAAGAATCTTATGACTGCAGTAAGTAGGCCTTTTTGAGGCCATCTTTGCATTACAGCAACAGTGTCAAAGGAGTCCCTGCAGCCTGCTATAAATCTGAGATTCATAAAGCTGCACTTAAAGGAGAATTATGAGGCGAGTGATTTTCACTCAGCCTCATAATCTGAGCCGACCTGTGACAATGAAACTGTCACAGGTCGGCTCAGTAGATCGGGAAGTGAGTGAACACCTAGTCGCTCACTTCTCGCTCCACCCCAGCAGAGAGCCATGACTGTCACGGCTCCCTGCAGGGATTCCCCCCCTCCCCTGTCTGATCATGCTCGCGTTATACTGAGCTTTGGGTCACAGGAGAACGCTAGCTTGTCTTCTCCCGTGACCCTTAGGAGAACTATGGGCAAAAGCCCTGACCCCATAGTTCTCCTTTTTTAAGCTCAATTTCTGCATGATTGTTCCTTTCCTTAGATGCTTTATTCTGTGTTAGGCATGGTTTTGTGACTAATAAGCAGAAGCCAAGTAATGCATACCTGAATAGAGAGCATGTCAAGATAGAAGATTTGGAACATGCCCTGCTGGCTTGTTTTTTTTCTAAGATGTAGGCTTTGGGGTGTCATCCTTGTACTTCCCCGGTTAACAGCAAAAACATTTAAACATGTCTGCACTTGGAAATTGGCTGTATGAAGATGCAGCTGGCACCTTCAGGTTCCTACTCACATTTAGGGGTTGATTTCCTAAAGGGAATTTGCACTTTGCAGGGAAAGTTTGCCTTTAGTTTGGTGAATGTGGTGACATTTCACTTTGCAAAGAATACCCAATCACATGCAAAGAAAAAAAGAAAAGAAATTAAAGTGTTTCTGCTTGCACATTAATTTGGGTGGTGGAATGTCAGCAGAGCTTCCCCACATTTACTAAAGTGACAGTTCCCATGCAAAGTGCAAATTCACTTTCAGAGTGAACAGCCTATTTGCCTTTAGTAAATCAACCTGTTAGTTTCTATCCAGAGCCACTCAGGATCCACAACACCTGAGACACTCTATTATGCAAATAGTAATCAGACCTTGTTTGGTTACGTTGTGATCTGCCCTCCCTCTGCTCTGTATTGACCTCTAAAGCTGCCCATACACCTTACAACCATTGCGTGACTTTTGTTGTGCGATGGTAATAAGGTGATTTAAAATTTCGTACGAACTGCCCATCTTGGACAGGCAGATCGTACATGCGATCATCGCAAGCCCTCCCCGGCTGAGGGGAGGGCTTGCCGATAATTGCAATGCCGAGCGGGCAGTGTGCACTTGCGCACTTCGGCCCGTGCGGCTTTCGTCTTGCGATCGCGCTACCAACCTGCCGAAAATCGCACGATTTTGTGGCGGGTTTTCTAGCGCGCGCGTAAGACGAAAGTCGTGCCACCGTAAGTAAATGTGGTCGCACGCTGCCCATTCACCTGTCTATTATCGTACGATCGCGGGATCACCTGCGATTATCGTACGATAATCGTCAGGTGTATAGGCACCTTTAGTGTAATTAGTTGCAAAAGAGGATGCAATTTAAAACTTTTTTGCATGTCATGACATTACCACATTGGCCTGCAGTAGTGTCATACTCTGCTACTTTCTTGTTGCACACTTGAGAGCTATACCTGGAAGGGAATTCCCATTTATGTGCCCAAAAGTTGGAAACCCCCTTTAAAATTTGTGTGTGTGACAATCGTCTGTCTCCCTTTTTTTTCTTCTCCCTCACTTTTTTTTGTTGTTGTTTTTTCAGTTTTACAAAATATTATTATGGACAATGCAGGCACATTTATTAGCTCTATTGTTTTTTCTTTTAAACATGCCCCACTGTGTTTAATGTTAAATGGCAATGCAGAATGTTAAATGGCACTGTACTGTAATACAAGGAATACATAAACATGAGTTTTCCCACTGGTATTCACGTATCTGTAAGGCCCCATTCACACACAAATCGGCCAGCATGTACAGCTGCGTGCGGGGCCGTACCATGCAGCTGCCGGGAAGTACAGGTGCTGCGTTTGATTAGTACGCAGCCCCCGTCCTTCTCTATGGGGCAACATGGCCTTACGCCCCCCTACGCTGGCCTACGATTTGTGTGTGAATGGGGCCTAAGCCCTAACAATGGACTTCTCTTTTCTCCTTCCTTTTGTTCTGAATATCTAGATATATATAATATTTTGTTCTTGGTTTTAGATGCATTTTAATGCTGTGGTAAAGTAGAGCAGGGAAAATACATTGTACTATAAAAGAGCATTGTAGCTCAAAGTGTTCATGTCATTTTATTTTCATTCCTTCTTGTTCTTGCAGATAAAAATACAGTTGAACTGCCAAAAAATGAGGATCAATCACCAGAAAGGTGGTAAGAATTATCAGACCACATCAAATCGAAGCTACATGTGTGAATTGACTTTATTAACCAACTTTTTTAAATGGGGGAGTGTATTATTTTGAGATTTTAGAAAAGCAATATTTTTCAGTTACTTTTATAATCTGTATTCTTATCACTGTATTACCTGGTCTGTTTGACACTTTTTTTAATTGAGGTTTGTAAACTTGGTAACCTTGTTATTAAATAAGAACCAATGACGTCCAAGGTCCTCTAAAATTGGGCTTTGACACTTTTGGTGGGATGTGCAGGTGCAATTTGGCTGCCCTCAGACAACCAGCTTTCCCAGAAAGGCACTTATGATGTAGCCTTCCCAGGATGCATCTGTGAAGCCAGGGCTACATCACCAGTGCTTCACTCAAACTGGAAGTGGAAAAATAGTAATTGCAAGTAAATGCAAAAATTTTTGTTTAAAGGAGAACTATGGGGAGAGTGAAATGCACTCATCCCCATAGTTAGGGCCGATCTGCGACAGCTGCAGTTTCACACAGGCAGCTCTACTAATTGGGAGCTGAGCGGTAACATACCGCTGATCACTCGGCTCCCAATCTTCTCCCTGCAGAGAGTAGTGACTGTTAGTCACCACTCCCGCAGTGATTCTCTTCTCCCCTCTCTCTGTCCCTCCAGTGCTGGGGGGGGGGGGGGGGCAGAGGTGAGCATTGACAGCTGACTCTGCCTCTCAAATCAGGTAGCGGGGTGGATCCTTTATGGCTGCTGCGCGGTTCTGCCCACTATATGCTGTGTTTTCGGCCACCGGAGGACATGGTAAATGTCCTCCTGTGACCTAAAAGAGAACGAATGCCAAAAAAGGTTTGGCCATAGTTTTCTTTTAACTATTGTAAGAAATGTTCAAATCAGCATGCATAGCTGCATGCTGATGTAGTTTTAGTGAAAGGAGGGTAAAGGTCCATTTTGATCAAATGGAAAAACTAGTGAAAGGGGGGTAAAGGTCCACTTTGATGGAAGAAAAAACATTTCTGCTGAATTCTTTCAGATTCACCTGCCTGTTAGAGGCACACAGACCCAATAAAGATAAATAATTTATCCAACCAATATCTTATTTTCTACTGTTCTTTTTCTCAAATTGTATTGGCACTATTATGCATTATTTTTTGATGGGAATAGTGCTCAGCTTATCTTATTTTTTTCTCCTATTATTGGGTAATTTGCAATCATATTTGGGTCAGGTTTTATTACATTTGATTATAACTTTGATGACATTTGCATTGTGTTGTGTTCCTCTGCAGTAAAGAAGAGGTGACAGGCCCAGACCCTGATGTATCTGACACACCTTTACCGTTCATCACACAACATGTTTGTTTTTTGGAACATACCTGTAGAGAGACATGCCTCTCTGAAGTTAATCCATACTTCAACAGAAGAGGAAATCCACTCCGGTTCCCGCTCCTGTGTCAATTCCATCGGTGGCATGCCAAGTCTGACCTTCTTTCCCGGCAGTTGGATGTCATCTACAAAGCCCCTTGTGGAAAGAGTCTGCGAAACTATGAAGATGTGCATTCTTACCTCTTTGAGACAAAGTGTCACTTTTTATTTCTGGACTATTTTTCATTCAACACTTTCCTTCAGCTGGAGAGAAAGCCAGTGACGGATCCAGCAGTTCAGGAAGCAGATATAAGCAGAGATGTGGAGCTGGTGCCAGTCTCCCTCTGCAATGAGATTGATGACACCAAACCATCTCCTTTTACATATAGGAAGAGCCCATGGCCGCGGGGATACTTTGTTAATAATTTTACCGACCTTTTTATCGGATGCTGTGACTGTACAGATGGCTGTTTAGATGTGTAAGGAAAATTTCTTAAAAATTTAACCAGCAGGGATGGGCACCACACCCCTTAATAAACATATATAAGAACAAAAAAAGTAAAATGGGGCGGTTACAATGTCCAAACCATACAACAGGTCCATCAGATCCACAAAATCTTTGTTGTGGAAACAGAAGGCTGTATGTACGTACAGTCTATATTTTTTGTGGGGGGGGGAATAAATGGTATGGAACAAGCTAGAGTTGAACACTCCCAGGTCTTCACTGCTGTTCAGGTGCTGCAGAAACCACTATTGTTACCAGCTATACATTCCTATGGAGAATCTAGAAGCATGAGGAGCAATAATATTGCATCATCTACTCTCTAGTGCAACCTTCTCAACATTTTTGACTCCAGAATTTTCAGGTCTCGGGAAAACTCCTGCTAAACCGAATTCATTGGGGGTGATTGGGAAGAATGCCAATGTTACAGTGGTGGTCAGAATCCCATCCTTACAGACCACTAAAAAGATTATTGGTGTTGCCCAGCTGGCTCTTTCATGTGGCACTGGCTGCAAAGCTGTGAAGACTCCATTAAATGGAGGGTTAATCAGCCATAGCTCAAGGAATCCCTAGGATACTTTGCAAGAACCCTGGTTAAAAAAGCTGCACTAGTGTTTTCTCCATAGACATAGAGGGGGGAATTTATCAAAACTGAAGCAGATAAAATCTGGAGCAGTTGCCTGTGGCAACCAAATCCGCTTCTCTTTCCAGTTTGTTCAGTTAAGGTTTGAACATGAAAGGTGGATGCTGATTGGTTGCCATTGACAACTGCTTCAGACTCTGCCTGCTCCAGTTTTGATAAATTCCCTTCAGAGTGTATTGAAAACTCACAGGATAAAGACAGTTAGCTCTGAAGATACAGCTGAGCAAATAACTGCCCCACTCCTGACTACTTTTTATTTGTTAAAGCTAAAGTAAACTGTTGTGAGAAGGTTCTGTTTTTTGCCCTAATGTGCAAGTATGCATAGGATGCTTGCACATTAGGGCATACTTGCTTTACAAGTGCGCCCTTCTCCAGTGCTATCGGAAAGATCTTCGGTCTTCTGCTCCAGTCCCCTTCTGCCACCAACACTTCTGGGTTCCTTGGGGCTCCTCTTCAGCCATTGGGTGGCCACAGAGGATGTACATTCTGCCCATGGGTACATAGGAGTTACAGCCTCCCTATCATCAGACCCATTCACAGCTTCTTAGAGATGCCATGAGTGGGCGAAGTGTGTACAGTGCATGGCGGCGCTGTACAGTGTACACAGAAAATAGAAGTTCGCTGGGGAAAATAGGAAAACATTTGGGGGGGGGGGCAGAAGAGACTTTGCAAACTTTTGTCAAAAATTCCTACCTCCCAGCAAAGTTTCATGTTTCTGACTTTACCTTCACCTCAGAGCTGCCATTTTTTTTTTTTGCCATATCGCCAATTTCTTGTTACTATACCTATTAGTCATATTCTTCACACATTTTCTTTTCCCACATAATTGGGTTTGTATGTAAACATGGTTTATCGATTGTGTAATGTCTGCCCAAAACCAATAAAGCAAATGCTTAAACTTGTAAATGAATATGATGCTACAATATTGTTTTCTTCTATTAACTTTTCTTTATCATGTTATTTCTTTTTAGGTCAACATGTACATGTTTGCAACTGACAGCCAAAGCATATAATAATTATGTGTCATCACCCAAGCAGATGCCTACAAATGGTTATAAGTATAAACGCCTCCAGGTTCCTATTCCCACTGGGTAAGTAGGAGGCATGTACGCTAGTTTTGAGTAGGGGCAAATACATTTCTGTGAGGTTTGCAGTATGTATATTGTACAAAAACCAAATGATCTCACACATCACCTTTTAAAGAGAATCTGCACAATGCCGTTACAAATCTTGCTTGAAAAAGGGTTGGTTAGGACCTGAAATGTAGCATCTTTAGTATGGAGTAATAATAGTGTTACATTTCTGATGCATTTTTAGGAATTAAAGCATTGTATGCATTGAAAGTCCCTTGTGCTGATTATCCTATAAAGTAGTTGTATTTGTCATTGTATGGCTAGCATGACTACCATATATCCCCCCACGTGAACAAATGTATAGCAACAGCAATTTTTCTCTGTGCCCTTATTTAATTTGTTAAAGTGAACCTGTACTCAAAAAGTGAAACTTTACTAAGTTCTTGGGAGCATCTTACCTAGGAACTGTTCCCTGAAAAATGTACCCCTTTTTTCGGGGTTTTTTTTCGTCTTCATTTTCCTCATGAAAAATAGTGCTGCAGATCTAAGACACTGCTGTCTGTGATTGCTATTTTCAGAAGATTTGGAGAGGAGATTTGGTGATGTCAATGCTGTGCTTCTTACAAAACCCAAACATTTCCAAACACACTTACCAGCATGCGTGCAAAAAAAAGAAGCTTACTGTCCCACAATGTGCGTTAAAGACAGAGGTTTTAGTTGCACAACTTTTCGAAAGTACGTGGAAACCACTCTGCCTTTGTAAGGCTCCTCTGTGTATTGTGGTCCTAACTCTAATCTATGAGAGCCTCCATCTTGGAGCATGTATAGCAAAGGACAAATTGAGTGCAGGTATGCCTGAAGGTAGCCCATCCCTCCTTAAAGGCACAGGGACACACCAGAAGCCCAGCACATCACCATGACAGCTGAAGCCCCCAGTGTGTTTTACTGCTGTGCTTCTCTGTTCCCCGTGTTGACTGCTCTGACATGAGGAAGCAAAGCTCTGTTTCCACCAAGAGGGCCGCTTCTACAAAGAGACACAGTGGCAGACCTAATAACCAAAGGGCCCTGGTGCAAGCTTTTATCTTGGGGGGGCCCCCCTCCCGAGAGCGGATCACACTGGCCCCCGCCTCCTCCATTGATCTGTTGCAGTAGCGTGCTGGACTTACCTGAGACCCTGCAGAGCACACCATAGATCCTGCATAGCCCACCTGAGACTCTCTATGATGGGCTCTGCAGGGTCCCAGGTGGTCTGTTCGTCGGGATCCCTTTACCTCCTCCCAACTCTTCTTACCTGCTGGGGCCTGGCCTCCTCCACCCCCTCCCCTGTCACCTCTGCCATGCCGCCCCGGTACAGTTGATACCCATGTAAGAGGCCCCTCACATGGGTACCGGCTAGGGATGCACGAATACCGGTGTTTTGGTACCTAGAATTTTTTTTCGGTACTCGCCGATACCAATTACCGAGTAACGGAAGTCCCAATCAGGAAGCCAGGCGGCGTTTGATGACTCGCCACCTGGCTTCCTGATTAGCCGGGCAGCATGTAAAGACTTGCCACCCGGCTTCCCGATTTAACAAGAATGTCCCCTCTTACCTTTTAGTATGTGCAGCCTGTCACCCCTGGGGCCTCTCCAGCGAGAACGCGGCCTTCCTCCGCTGTCTGGCCGGCCAATCAGGAAGCCGGGCGCCGATTACTTAGGTAAGGTAATCTTACCTCACAAGGCCAACTTCCTGATTGGCCAGCTTCCCGGCCAATCAAAAAGCCGGGCAGCGCGTCATTTCACTCTGCCCGGCTTCCTGATACCAGAAGTACTTCTGCTAGGCATCGGAGCATTTGGACAAGTACTCGCCAAAATACTCGGAATCGGCACCGATATCGATACTAGTATCTGTATCGGTGCATCCCTAGTACCGGCCATACCCCCCTGATGGCGGTGTTCTATCCAAGGTTGTGACTACCTTGGAATGTGTGACCGGTGACGTGGTCACACATTTCAATGTAATCCCGCCCAGTTTTTCGGCGGTGGAATGTGTGACCGCCAATAGGTGAAGCATTCCAGCGCTTTTCCAGCTGTTCCAGGGCAGATCGGCATCACAAATCGCATGTGCAGGAGAACCGATCTGCCCTGAAACAGCTGATCTGTGACAGTTTTATTGTCACAGGTCGGCTCAGATTATGAGGCTGAGTAAAAATCAGTCGCCTCATAATTCTCCTTTTAAGGGTCTTGGCTACAAAAAAAAACCCCTCCTAGCCCTAAACCAAACAAAACCATACAAAAAAAAAACAACGAAATTTCACAATCTTTAAATCTAAGCTTTGATTGCTATGAAATGCATGTGGAAATTCAGCCTGCTTTCCTAGAACTACTGTCAACATCATTTTATCCAGGTGTGGGTAACATCCAGCCCTCCAGCTAAAAGTCCCATGAGTCATTGCAAGACTCACCGTCACGGGCATGACTTGCAGAGGCATGTTGGGATTCGTAGTTAAAGCATAGTTGAAGGGCCAGAGTTGCCCATCCCTGATCTTATCTCTGACTGATGAAGTGTATTAAATGTGTAGTGGGATGTTTGCTATAGGAACATACAAAAATTGTTAAGCTCTATGATTTTTGTATCTTACAAACACTATCCTTCACTGCAGGCTATATGAATGTAATGTTTCTTGTAAATGTGATCGAAGAATGTGTCAGAACCGGGTTGTACAGCACGGTCTTCAAGTCCGACTTCAGGTGTACAAAACCATAGAGAAAGGCTGGGGGGTGCGCTGTCTGGATGATATTGACAAAGGGACCTTTGTGTGCATCTATGCAGGCAAGTTGCATCTTTATATTCAGGATTTAAGTACAATACTTTTTTCCCCAGCGAACTGCAAGACAACAGTGTGAACTGGCCCCACTCACACCTATACATTTTTGGGTTCCCTTGCGTTGGCTGTGCCAATGGATGTCAACGCAACAGATCTGGTGTGAATGGGGCTTAAATATGTATTATATTTTACTATTAAAATCTCCTAGCGCTTTTAGAACTTTTGACCTGTTTTATAGTTTGATCCCGAACTTTCAGTTAACCAATCTCTTAATGTGCGATAAACGTTTATAATAAAAAATGTATAACTGAAAATATGCATTTATAAACCACATGGGACATACAATATTGGGGCTACTGTGTTTTTTGTTCTATAGGTCCTCTGCTTTCAAAACATATATAATTGGGGGTGCCTCCCCAACTTCTTTAAAGCAGAAGTTGGGGAGGCACAAATATTGTCTAAATACAAAAGACTTGTGTACTCTTACATCTTGTGAAACTTTACCTCGAATCAGGAGCTTCCTGTAATAAAGACCGGTCACTGCTGCTCTCTCTCCTTGTGCAGGGTGACTGGTCTTGTATCTACCTCCAGCCTGTACTGGGTGTGCCTGTTGGGCCCTTGCCACAGTTAATAATTTTTCAAATGGCAAAAAGTTTAAATGCCATCTACATTTACATCTTTGATTTTTATATATATATTACATTTTATTTATATTTTTGGTTTTTGTAGGTCAGATTTTAATGAATTCTTCAAATGTAAACACACAGGATACCAGTCCATGTGTGAAGCCCGCTTCCATTTTTTCTAAAAGAAAACGTCCCATTTCCCTCTCGGACTCTGAGGTCACTAATCCTCCACCAAATTCTTCCAGCAGACAGAAGCCTGGAGATACTCGAGTAACTTCAGGCTCAAGTCATCAACCTAAAATCACAATCAGGTATACATCTTAGGTATTGTATCTATATTATAGCTTTGTTGCAGTGGCTCATGGTCAGAAAATATAATGCATCAGAAAAGATTGAGGGGTGAAAGTCCTTACACATGCAGTAAAGCTACAAGGGAAATCATTTTTTTGTTTGTTTTTGATATACAGTATACGCACCATATAGATAAACTTTAAAGGGAAACCATATTATTTTTATACTTTAGTTATACTGTACTTGTGAAACAGCGATTGTGTACAATAGTGTAACTGGGCACACATAAGCGCCGGTACAAGATGTCAGCCGTGGAGCATCCCTAAATTCTATTACCCTCTCTGCAGCTAACTTGATTAGCTTTTCTTCCTGACCATTTCCCCAACTCCTTTGACCTTCTCCAACATGCACAATACAGTTGTGTGAAAAAGTGTTGTCCCCCTTCCTGATTTTTTATTGTTTTGCACGTTTGTCACACTTTAATGTTTCAGATCAGCAAACAAATTTAAATATTAGTCAAAGATAACACAAGTAACACAACATGCAGTTTTTAAAAGAAAGGTTTTTATTATTAAGGGAAAACAAAATCCAAACCCACATGGCCATTGCAAGTTATCGCAAACGCTTGATTGCAGTTCTTGCTCCTAAGGGTGGCCCAACCAGTTATTGGGTGGCCCAACCAGTTATTAGGTTTAGGGGGCACACTTTTTCACACAGGGCCATGTTGGTTTGGATTTTGTTTTCCCCTAATAAAAACCTTTCTTTAAAAACTGCATGTTGTGTTTACTTGTGTTTATCTTTGACTAATATTTACATTTGTTTGATCTGAAACATTAAAGTGTGACAAATGTGCAAAACAATGAAAAATCAGGAAGGGGGCCAACACTTTTTCACACAACTGTATGTCCCTTCTCCTCGTTAACCCCACACTTGCTCAAAGTGATGACAAAGCAGCAAGTGTCTTTGGATATGGCTAGGTAGGCCCTTATATGCCTCCTTCCACCTGAGCTGAGAGCCAGTTGCAGCTCCTCTTCCTACACAATGCATTGTGCCTCTCTGTTCTCTTATCGCAAGGCCACCCACTTGCTATGATTGATTTAAAGTTATGGAATCTCTCTGTGGCTGAAATGTTATTTCAGCAGTAGTTGTTAAAGGAGAACTATGAGGTGAGTGCTTTTCACTCACCTCATAGTTCTAGCCGACCTGTGACTATGAGACTGTCACAGGTCGGCTCAGTAGATCGGGAGGTGAGCGAACACATACCGGCGTTCGATCGCCTCTCGATCCTGTCACGGCTCTCTGCGGATACAGCTGGCTCTGCCTCTAGATAGGCAGAGCCAGCTGTCACTCACGCAGCTGGGCTGATCTCGGCATCAATGTCGGGATCAGCTCCGGCTGCGGCGTCCCAGTATACCGCAAGCTGTAGCTCGCTGTATACTGAGCTTGGGGTAACGGGAGGACGCTAGTTTGTGTCCTCCCGTTACCCTAAGGAGAACTATGGGGAAAAGCCCTGACCCCATAGTTCTCCTTTTAATTACGGTCATTTTAATTAAGGTCATTCTAACCTGTTATTAGAAATGTGGAGGCTACCATTGTGGCATTTATTTTTATTTTTTTTTGTCAAACTTTTATATTTGATTAGCATAACCTAAAGGTCAATCAACTAGCTTCAACAATGGCAGTTCTGATTTCACTATCAGTTTAATTACACATGCTTGTTCCTTGTCAACATCTATTAATGTTTTCTGTCTTTTATTTTTTTTTAGATGTGGCATTAACCATTCGCTAATTTTATCTAAAACTGAAAAAAATAAAATGTAAAGCAAGGGACAGCCAGGCATTTTAGAGGTAAATTGGCAATGGTAGACTTTATCTCCATCGGCACAATTTTCCTTCGCATGAGTCCAACCGCTTATCAGTGAGACCATCCCAAAGAACTGGTTCACGCCATGTCCATTGAGCTGTTTATTATTTTTTTCTCTGCAAACTGTCGCATATACATGCTGTGAACAGACCACATAGAAAACAGTTGTTTTCTATGTGTCCTGTTCACACATACAATACATGTGCAGTAGTGTGCAGAAAAATGCAGCTCAGTGGACATGGTGTGAACAAGACCTAAGATGTGGGGGCCCATGGCAAGGTGCAGGTGGTGGGAAGGTGGTTAATGCTATTGCTAACTTTGTGATCTAGAGCAGATATAGATGGCTAGATATTGCCTAATTAAACAATATACCAACATATGGTGATCTGCAAATATTAATTGAACATATCAAAGGCTAAAAAATGCATCCTCGGTTAAGTATTTGCATTTCTTTCTATTTTATTTCTCGTCTTCGTCTTTTTTTTTTTTTTTCCCCCAGAAACAAAATAAGCCGATATCAAGTAGGAAATACAGGCCTTCCATCTGTTAAAAGACCTAAAACCAAGACTGCCATTCTCCAGCAACGCAGAAGGCGGCTCATGGAAAAGGTCAGGTTTTAGATGGTTCCATACCCTTTACCTGTACAAGAGATCCAATGAGATTATACAGTATCACGTAGGCCTAAAAACCATCCACCTTCTGTAACTGTTATCGCATTTGGCTTAAGAGTAGATAAAGAACTGACTAAGTGGCTCAGCCCCTTACCCCTGAAGCTAAGCATGATTAAATAATGGCCAGGGTGGGAATATGATGGGAGATAAAAGATCTTGATGCTGGAACTCCAGAAATAGATACGTTCATACATGCATATGTAGAGGGGCGCAAGCTATTATACACCAAACAAATCCATTCCACAAGAATAGGGGAAAATGTTATTTCCAAGTAAGTGGTATCCATTTTCTGGAATAAGATTCTTTAAAGTGACATTAAAGGATATTTTTTTTCCCCTCCCCAATGTTAATGTCAGCACTTACCTTAAATTATGTCTCTTTATCTGATCTTCTTTCCTGATGTTTTCATCTGTCCCTCCAGCAGTGAGGCGGCTCTCCGATCCAGCATTGACTCCTCTCTGCTTGCAGGCACTTCCGATCCAGCGGTGTCTGCATGCGGGTGCACGCGTCCATAGACTTACCTTGCGTCTCTGCTCATCTCCCGGCCGAGAATCCGAACTGCGCATGCGCCCGCCTCAAGATGCTTTGCGGCCGCCGGAGCAGTTTCGTTTTCTCAGACGGGAGCGCGCTGCGAAAACAAGGTAAGTTTAAACCGCTGTTTAAGCATTTTTTGTTTTTTAAACTTTTTGCCTATATCTACTGCTTGATAGCAGTAGATATAGGCAAAAAAAACAGAGACTTTAGAACCCCTTTTTAAAGCAGTGGTTCTCAACCTGTGTAACCTCAGGACCCACATTAGTCTTTGGTCAAGTTGCACTGGAACGAATGGCATTGCGGTACCTCGCCTTCTAGTGCAGGTGATCGAACTTTGGGCGGGAGGTGCGTTTGGGGTGCTATTCAAATGACTAGCAACGCACCTCCCGCACCAGAACGTGCGATTGAGTGGTACAGTGCGATTTAACATACTGTGCTAGTGTGAACGGGCCCTTTAAACACTGACGGGCACAATACCACACACTAAAAAAAAAAATGTTGTTGTTTTGAGATCCACCCAGTCTCCCCAAACGTGTGAGATCTGAAGTGGAACCTCAGCCTAGGGTCCAGTGTGGGCCACCCCACCTCAAGTGGACACTCGGGCCCGGACAACATATTTTGAATAGCTATTCGGCGTGAGAACTGACAGTGCTGCGTTAGGGGGAAGCTGAGGAGCCTCTCACCTAGCACAGTGGAAGGCACGCCGCGACCCACTGAACTTGGGGTTGGGACCCACCAGTTAAGAACCACGGCTTTAAAGGATATGCAAGAGGTAGTTCATGCAAGATTCCCAGTAAACAGACTGACACATGGCTCCACATCTCCTAAAGCAGAGGGAGTTGGAGTAGAAGCCTACTTTGAGCAGTTTAGAGGGAGAATATCAAAACTGATAGAAGTGAGTTTAATTTCCTCATCTCTAGAGGCGATTACCAAGGTCATATAAATGGATTCATATTCTGGCCAGTCCTCAGGGTTAATATGCGGTATTGGGTTCTGCCACCTCTCCTTGGCCTTGTTATATCTAGTATGTTTGGTCAAAAGTAATATTGAATAATATTTAGAGATCAACATAGCCCCATATGCCTAAAGCAGAAGTTAAAGGTGCAAATGTTTTTACTAAATTGTCTTTTGTACACTTAGGGTGCGGTCACAGTGCAGCACAGTTCTGATGAAGAGGAGTTTGTCATACCTGTCAGTTCTCCAAAACCAATGCACACAAGCTGCTTAGGACATGAAGGTACGCACGTGTTCTATATGGCAGTTTGTAGCATAGCATTCAGATACCTGCAGGTCAAGTTTAATCATTTAAAAGTAGAACTCCACTCAAAGTTTTTTGTTTTTAATTATGGACAGTGTAGAATGGTTGAAACCATTGTCCGGTAATAAAAATTTGGTAGAGGTTCTATAATCCTTTCCTGATTTATTCAAATTAAAAAGCGGTTTTGATTAGAGTTCCATTTGAAGAACAAATCACAACATATAAACTGTTGTATTGGTGGCAGACATAGCCACATATTCAGCCATGCTGTGTAGTGTTGCAGATGGATACAACATACATCCATCCTACCTGTTTAAAGTCCATTACTTGTTACCATTAATACAGAGAACAGCATTTTGGAAACGTTATAACCTGGCTAGCTGGTTCCCAGGGTTTGCCAAGATGTCAAAAAGCAGTATTGATGAACATCATAGTAGGAGTTTATTTCTGCCTGAAGTTTTTCTTTTATTCTAACCTTATAGTTTCCTAATTATACAAAAATCCAACATAAGCTTGAGTTTTAATATAATATACTGTGGGCGGGGCTAAGCTCCATGCTGAGAACCGATCCCGACCGCATCCTCCCATTAAGTGACAGAGGCTAGTAGGAGCCGCTTTGTGTTCATGAATACCCGCTCCGTCCCCGCAGCTCCATCCCCGCCTCCCCTCCACTCTGCTGTCTCGGGACATACACCTAACACATTGGGAATTAAAGCAAGCACACCAGCTCCATCTCTGCAGCCCTGTCTCTGCCTCCATGCTGCTGTTTCAGGACATACATCTAACTCGTCTGCACCAGCTCCGCCCCCTGTCCCTGCTTCCCCTACACGCTGCTGTCTCGGGGCATGCACATAACACATTGGTAATAACACAATGGAGATCTGCAGCAGCACTTCAGAACTGATCTTACCTTGTCCGGTTACTGAAGCACTGCTGCAGATGTTCTGAGATTTTCGTACTCCCATTACACAGCACAACTGTCTGGCAGGCGACCTGATTATTTTTTCTCTCCTCAAGTTAAGTAGGGCTTAAATTTCTACAGACCGTGAGAGGAGAAGCAGCTAACTAATTAGCTCATCTCTCCGTCACTGTGCTCCTTCTTGCTACCTGTATGTCAATTTGTAGAACACAAGGACCGCAGCGCAGCCTTTGGCATTTTGTACTGCTTCCTGTCCCAGTCTGAGCTGCAAGGTGCTGATACAAAGTCAATTCCGTGTACAGTAAACTCTCTTATCTTGAATTCAGCTAACCCACAAAAAAATCCCCTATGTTCTGGATGATCTGCCACCTTCTAGGGGTGAGAGCGGGCTATGGAGCATGGAAAGATACAGGAACAGGCTGAAAAGTGCTGGATTATCCTGACAATGAGTGTCTGAATGATCGCTGAAAAGTGCTGTGGTGTCCTGGTCTGGTCATGGTGAGAAGCGGGTGTTCAGTGGGCAGATGTGGATCCTTGGGAAGGGGGGTTGATGAAGCGTCAGACTCGGCGTGGAGGAAAGAAAAATACACGGTGGTCAGAATCTATGTAAATGTACAAAAAAGAAGTGTACTACCTTTTTCATACATTTCCACAAATTCTGACCTCCACGCAGAATCTGATGCATCCTCATCCCCCCCCCCCTTCCCAAGGATCCACATCTGCCCACTGAACACCCGCCTGTCACCATGACCAGACAACATCACCAGGAGATCACCACCATTGTGCTAATCCATACCATCACACGTGAGTGCCTAATTTCCATTCCCACTTCATTTTACCTTGATTTACTGTAATTTTCTGGTCAATCTCCTTCCACGCAGTCTGCGCCAGTTATTTGCGCTCCTTCCCTTTTTTTCCGTTCAGTAGTTTACTGTACTTACACTGCTTGTATTTAAAGCAGTACACTCACTGCTGCTTAATTTCTGTCTTATTTTGGCTTGGAGTTTAGTTTCACCAGGTTTATAATGTATCGTTTAAGTGTGGGGGGGTTTTTTGTGGGTTTTTTTGTTTTTTGTTATACAATAACTATGATGCAATGGATGATACTGAGACTTACAAGTTGTTCCACACAACAGGAGGAGATGCTGAGAAGACAGATGCAGGTTATTTATCAGATAATAGCACCTTGTCTATACAGTCCACTGAGACTCAGCGGTCTGCTTGTAAACAAAAGGATGCCCTTCAACACCCAGAGAGCGAAGAAAATATTTGGGTCTTAGATGCTTCGAAGGAAGGGAACGTGGCACGATTTCTAAATGTACGTATTGGACAAATGTAAATATAATAGAGTATTCTTGTGTAAAGAAAGCACTGTAATGGGGGGGGAGTCAGGAAAATCGGTTAGTGGCAATGTTTTATCCAGGGAATAAATTCAGCTGCTACTCTTGGAGTAAAAATGGACAAATCATATGCTAGCCAGTACTCTATGAACTTTTCAGTGTTCACATTCTGTTCCTGGGCCAGGTTACGGGGCATAGATGGTTAACTAAAGCCAGGGCCAGGCTTGCATAGAGGCAGCAAGGCACTCTTTGGCATCTTTGCCCTTGCAAGATCCAGGACAAGTTCCTCTGCCAAGCAAGGTGAAGATGCCAAGTGCACCCTCCTGCTTCTGCCTGACCCTGGGGGTAATTAACCGTCTATACAGGGTAACCTGGCCCAAAAACAAAATTGGATATATTAGCGAGATCCAAGACAAGCTCCTCTGGCAACCAACATTTTTTTCATTCTGTTCCTGGGCCAGATTACCTGACATAGATGGTTAATTAGCACCAGGGCCAGGCAGAAGCAGGAGGGTGCACTTTGGCATCTTCGCCGTGAGTTCCAGAGGACTTTGTCCTGGCACTGACTACAGCCAAACAGCTGACGGAGGACAAACCCACTCTTCGCCTCTCTGCCCAGGACACATGAAGATATAAAAGCGACTCTGATTTAACTTGGTACCAAGTTAAGAAAAGGTTCTATAGTACTTCATCACCCACTGCTTTCTTGTATGTCTCTTGGACTTCAGTGAACTCCCTGGACATGTATTTTATCAACCTAGCTAACTATTTAGCTAATATTTATCTTATCCAGACCTCAGTCACTTAAACTTTGCTGTGCATTTTGTCAGCTGATAATTATAATAGGATTTCAGAGAACTGTCTTTGGGACGGCTTTCCAGTTAATATGGTTTCTATAGCTTTCTTCTTTCAAGCCCTTAAGATCTCCTCTATTTTTTTTATATATGTCAGATCGGGTAGCTTGTTTTGCATGTTAGGAACGTGCTGATACCATAGCAATTTTTTACATGCCTTTTACATGTCAATCCCTGTGCAGAGCTTTTATAAAATTATGGAAAATGAATAGCTAGAGGGGTGCATTCACTATTATGGGCTGTATCACGTAATTGCTCTCAAGTATTATAGGATACAATAGCTCCCAGTGCTTTGGTAATAAGGGTGGTGGGTGATGAAAGTTTAAGAATATAAGAAGAGATATTGATCCCTTTTTCTATGTGCAGTATTCGAATAAAATGAGGAATGTTTTATTAGGTGCCATACTTTCTGTAAGTATTTGCACTTCCTAGATTGGGCACCAGTGCTGGTAGGAAACAAATAATGAAATATTGAGGCTCTCCCCTCATTTTTCAGCAGTATTACAGCAAGTGGTGCAGGTACTTGCCACCACTGCACTACAGTGCAGTTCTCCCTATTTCAATGAACCTACCTGTCCTAATAAGTCACTTTCCATTGCTATTCTCCTAAAAGCATTTGTCAAACACAAGGGCTCAGTACTGGCCGCTTTTTAACCTCTGTGCCCTGAGATTATTGTTTGGAAGGCATAACATTTTGTGCCTGTGACGAGACCTAATCTTCTGCCTCTGACATGTTACTGCTGTGTAGTGGTGACGGCTGTAATACCCAATACAATTTTAAAACCCCTTACCCCCCGCCAAAACCAGTGAGGAGCTTTCATTGTAGGTAAAATATAATTCCAGAACCATATAACCTTTTGATAATTCTTGACATTTGGCTCTCCTTTACATTCCACACACTTTCTGTAAATTGTCATTCGAACCAATACTATACAGATGAACAAAGTGTAGCATAATATTGTACAAGTGGTAAAGCGTCGGGAATACATTTTGCTTTAATCCTAATTTTTTCTTCTGCCACCGCTTACAAACATTGCAGCCTGCACTGGAACAATGAAAGGGATTATACGGGATAATCAACAATTTCTCCCTGGCTTCTGGCTCCCTTTTGTGTAGTAACATATAGATGGGTGTCTCGCTGTCCTGCTTCTCCCGGTAGAAGATTATATGTCCTCAGTCTTTCACTGCAACATCATCTGCATGTGAAGCCTGATACTGTACATGCATTGGTGCTATTTATGTGTCCTGTGATGGATGACTTTTTACATACTGTATGTTTGCTTAATGGAACACAAAATAATTGACCAAAGAAATGTCAACCAATTGTGTGACAAAAGTCATAACTTTGTTGTATTCATACTGTTACTGGTCAACATTTCTGAAATGGAGTGGGTATGACAAAGTGTATGTTTAATAACTATCCTTGCAATAATTATACATTGTATCTAGTGTGTGTATCTCTTATCGCTCTCTGTATCTTCTTTTTTTGTTTTGTTTATATAATTGATTTTATGTTTCCCTCTGTATACAGCATAGCTGTTTACCAAACCTATTTGTACAACCCGTGTTTGTAGAAACGCATTCAAAGAAATTCCCCTGGGTGGCATTTTTTACGAAGAGGTTTGTACCATTTTTGTGTCAATATTCCTTTTTCACTGTTGACTATTTTGATTTGGTAATCTAAAGTAAACTTGTTCGCGGCTAAACTTTAACATGCATTATAATGCAGCTGCTATCGATTTTGTTGGCTTCTACACTCATGAGCACCACACTGATTCTAGTAAAGTTTTCTAAAAGTTCCTAGCTCTGGAAAGGCAGCCACAAACACCTTTTTTAATAACCAGTGATGCATTGTGACCCAGGGACTGAACGTGCACTGAGTGGCATGTGGCGCGACACCCCTAAACCCCACCACCACCACCACCCTGTGGCCATTTGGCTTCATGGGCGGCAAAGCCCTGCTTGCAACGGAGTATCAGCAGAAGAAATTAATGTGGGAGATTTTTTTTTATTTTTTTTTTTTTTTAAATGGAGCTCATCTATCGTGTGTTTTATTTGCTATGTAACACTTTTTTGGTGAATGAGTAAGCAGGGGAGTAACCACCCAATTGGCATACCCCTTACTCCAAATGGGTGGGCAGATATCTGGGGGACCCCTTTTTTCTAAAGGGGGGGGGGGCTTCCGTATTCAAATAAGTCACAGCCACTGAGCCAGGGATGTGGGGGCTTTCCAGGATGGGCCCCTTGCTGGCAACTTACCTTCCACCCATATCCATTCCAGACCCTTATCAATCATGTCTGTTATGGTGGAGGAGGCTGCCAGTGTCCTGCAAACTAACGGATGACAGCCCGGCAGGAGGGCAGATTGGCCAATACTGACTATTTAGTTCACCGGTTGGGAAACGGCTTGGGTTCAGGTTGAACTTGTGGTATACCAAAACCTAGCTCATCCTTGGTCTAGTCAATTAATTTATACAGAGTTCATGCATGTGTGTGACATAAATACAGAATAGCAGCACTTATTGTAGGTCTATCCAAGATTTCAATAAAAGTTGGAATCTGGTGAACCGGATCACCGGCTGGTATCTACTATTTTCGGGCTGTATGGCAATGGTGCAGATCTCTCTTGTCCTAGGTCAGTTTGTCTGCCCAGCAATTATGCATCCTTTTTGATTTGATTCTCAATCCTCATTACTGAATTCCCTATAATGTAAAATAAATTAAGAAAGCCTGTCTTGGTTTTTTGCAATGACCACATTGGTGGGTGTTGCTAAGAACTGCAGTGAGTTTATCTCTTTGGTCCTCCAGCAACAAAATAAGTCACCTGAGGATTCAAACCGCTAGTGTGTGCCCAAAATGTAAATATTTGTATCATTATCCTTTTCTTCTTCTTTTTTTTTTTATGAATCTTCTCATCTTTCCTGTTTTTTGTCATACAGTTTTTCTTTTCTTTTTTTTTTCTTTCAGCTACCTAAAAGCTGGGACTGAACTAACCTGGGATTACAACTACAATACTGGGAGCGTTCCTGAAGAGGAGATTCCATGCCTGTGTGGACAAAAAACATGCCAAAATATAACTGTTTGACTATTTAAATATTCAAAAGCTTCAAGTACAACTTAAGGCTCCTGTATGACAGTCTAATCAAGTCCCAAATCCAGTTACTAAGTAAATAGTCACTTTACCATTCTTACCTAAGCCAAATCCTCCATTTGTGCCTAATGTACACCTGCTCCCAGACACTACAGCTTACAGTGGGGGGGTTTTGGAAACAGGCAGTGCTGCAATCCAGAAAGCAGTGGGCAGGATTAGGTGTGGCTAGTAGCTGATTCACAGGCTAGAGACTTGTTAATCAGCGCTGACAATGCTAATAGCCACACCACCTACAACAGTTTTACATCCCATTGTAGTGAAATCAGGCACAGCCTACATGAGAGTGGCACCGCTGCTCTGAATTTAGGAAGCTGGATTAGGTGGACATCACTGGCAAACTTAACAGGTATTTGTGGGACTTTCCATGTGGACTAAGAGGAAACTGTAAGTGCAGACGCACATATTTTTAGTTCTTTTTTTCCCAGTTTGCATCAATACTCCTTTTTTATATGGTTTTCTTTTAAACAGCAATGAGTTTTGCTCTTTATATGCTGATTATTTAATTCTGATTAGAGATGAGTGAATCTGCCCAGGTTCAACTCGAGGAGGGTTTTGCCTAATATTTAGGGTTAATAGGTGAGCTATTGTCAAAAAGGAAACACGGGGAGCTGGGCACTGCCATGGGGGACATGTGCCACTGCATAGAAAATGTAAATGCACAAACACACACTTTAAAAAAAAGTACTTTAATGAAATAATACACAAACACATGACAAAATTAACACGAAAAAATAAAATGTATGTAATAAGGACAGCTCACTTTTTTTCCCTTATTGCTGTGTAGACTGTTACTTTTTAATCTAAAACATTTTAAAGTTACCCTAAACTCGGGAGTTAAGGTAGTTAAATGTATTTTAAGATTTAACAATAATCAAAAATGTATCTTATTTGTGCATCACTGAGCTATAGATCCTCAAATCATCTCTGAATTCCTGCTGACACTGTCCTTCCTTCTGGAGGGTGGCTACTTTTGTTCCTCATGGTCCCTGAGGGTGTTTTGTGAAGTAGCCACCACTCCAAGCTCATTCCTGTGATGGACTACAATCTCATGTTTAGTTTACTAATTTGTAGTGAGATTGTAGTCCATCAGAGGAGCCAGCTTGGAGCGGTGTCTACTTTACAACACACATGGGGAACAAAAGTAGCCACCCTCTAGAAGGAAGGACAGTGTCAGCACTAATTCAGAGATGGTTGGAGGATCTACAGCTGAGTGATACCAAAAATGTATCTTATTTGTGTAACAGGGTACTTACATAAATGTACAGTATGTGAGTAAAGATTTACCTCCTGAGTTTAGTGTCACTTTAAACTTGATGTATTTTGTTTTACTCTTCATATATACCGATCATCCATAACATTATGACCACTGAGAGGTGAAGTGAATAACTTTCATTATCTTGTTACAATGGCACCTGGAAATGGTTGGGATATTTTAAGTGCGACTCAACATTTTGTCCCTGAAGTTAATGTGTTGGAAGCAGAAACAAAACGGACAAGTCTAAGGATTTGAGTGACTTTGACAAGAGGTAAATTGTGATGGCTAGATGCCTGGGATAGAGCTGCAGCTCTTGTGGGATGTTTCTGGTCTGCAGTGTTTAGGATCTACCCAAAGGTCCAAGGAAGGAAAACTGGTGAACCGGTGCCAGGATCATGTGTGGCTAAGGTTTACTGATGCACGTGGGGAGAGAAGGCTGTGTAGTCTGATCTAATAGAAGAACTACCTTAGCTTAAATTGCTGAAAAACTAAATGCTGGTTCTGCTAGAAAGGTGTCTGAACCTACAGTGTATCTCCTCCGTGTTTTTTTTGTGCATGGGCCTCCATAGCCGTAGACCGGTTAGCGTCGCCATGCTGACACATGTCCACTACCAAAGGCACCTGCAATGGCACATGAGCATCAGACCTGGACCATGGAGCAATGGAAGAAGGTGGGCTGGTCTGTTGAATCTGGTTTTCTTTTAGTGTGTGTGTGTGTGTGTGTGTGTGTGTGTGTGTGTCTTAGCTAGCAAAGACATGGCACAGGATGCATTGTGGGAAGAATGCAAGCTGGCAAAGGCAGTGTGATGCTTTGGGCAATGTTCTGTTGGGAAACCTTGGGTCCTGCCATTCATGTGGATTTTGTTTATGAGTTTTAGATGAAGCACTGAGATCTTGAGGAATGCTGAATTATGTTTTACTTGCTTAGAAGAACATTATATCAAAATGCAGCATACAGTACCTAGACACATACCATCTACCTAAACATTGTTCCTGACCAAGTACACCCCTTCATGAAACTGGTATTCCCCATGGGCGGTGGCCACTTTCAGCAGGATATTGCACCCTGCCATACTGCAAAAAAAGTCTCAAGAATGGTTTGAGGAACACAATGAGTTTGAGGTGTGAAGGCCTCCAGATCTCAATCAAGCATCTGTGGGATGTGCTAGAACATCAAGTCTGATCCATGGAAGCCCCACCTTGCAATTTACAGGACTGAAAGGATCTGCTACTCACACCTTGGTGCCAGATACCACAGCATACCTTCAGTGGTTCAGTGGAGGTCATGCCTCCACGGGTCAAGGCTGTTTTGGTGGCAAAAGGGGAACCTACTCAATATTAAGTGGCTGGTCATGATGTTATGGCTGATTGTTGTACATCACTAGAGAGGTCCAGGGAGTTTCTATAAAACTCTTACTAAAAATGTAAATACTACAGATGGTACAGCAGTGTAAAATTGGCAAGCAGAAGTACATTTTTAAGAAAGACTTGACCAAAATGTACTAGAGGCCTAGAGTACAGGTAGGGAATTTACTACATGAAATAAGGCTGGAGCCAAACTTACTAGAGACAAAGAGCATGGCCTGGGCCTTTACTATAAGAATTAAGACTGCAGAGGACACCGTAGCGAAAAAGTGGCCAGCACAATTACTTTAAAATAATAGCTTTTGGCCCAAATTTACTGGAGACAAAGACCACAGGTAGGGTTTCTTCGACAAGAATTAAGAGTGTGCAGATTACACATTAGCGTAAAAGTGGCCAACAGCAGGATCATTTTAAATAGCAAGGATAGGCACAATTTACATAGTTACATAGTATTTGGGGTTGAATAAAGACATACGTCCATCAAGTCCAACCCAAATAGGTCCACGCATCATCTCATTCTTAGGGATACTGTTATCCCTGGATATTACGGTCCCTCAAGAAATTGTCCAAACGTTTCTTGAACAAATCTACACTCTTGGCTGAAATCACTGCCGATGTCAGTGAGTTACGGTTGAATTTACTATTGATGAAGATCACAGGCTGGGGCTTTACTAGGCTAATTAAGATGCAGCTGACCTGCAGCAGTACATTTTTAAGCAGGGAAAATTGGTTGAAATATACAAGGGAGAGTATAGGCAAGTGTTACTATGAGAATTAAAGCGGATCTTACCAGATCTTTAAAATAACAAACACACCGTTAGAAATGTTTAGTAATGACAATCTACAAAACGCATACTCTATAACGCACTATAATTGCCAGCTTTGTATTCTTTGCATTCCTTATTTCTCTTTTCTTTCCCAGTCTTCTGACAGTGGCCATGTTTACTAAGGGCAGATTGCTAGCTGTCCTTTTTTACTTCCTGGATTTCTAGGACATGTGACCATGCACATCATCTCAGGGGAGGAAAATGCCTTTCCCTGAGCTCTCCTGAGATTACAGATGAGATTTCCCAGCAATGTTCTGCTGACGACAAGGCAATCCCAGTGTGCATTGCTTTGGCAAACTGAAGTCATTTGCACTTTCAAAGCAGGAAGTGAATGCTCTGCAAGTATTTCAGAATCACAGCATTTTACACCTGACATGTCTGTGTAATATATGGAGGGTTTTATTGGTAGAATTAGATTTTTGAGTGTAAAGGTCTGATTTAAGAGACTGCAGGTGACACAAAAATCGGCCAGCAGCAGGACCATTTTGAATAGCAAGGCTGGAGTCAAATTTATAGGAGACAAAGAGCACTGGGCTGGGGCTTTCATTTTAAGTATTAAGATACAGCAGTGTAAAACTGGTCAACAGCAGGACATATTTAATCATTATGAAGTGATTTTTGTAGTGCTCACAGATTTTGCTCTTAGTTTATTGAGGGGTTTTTCATACAGAAGATGCAGCAGCATCCTGCAAAAAAAAGGCAGCTACTCAAACAGATTGGCAACAAAAATAATGCTGCACTTTAGGACCCCAAACCTAAAAAAATACCCTATCAACAGAAGATAAAAATCAAGAAACTCCTCAAAATACCACCACCACATTTAAAATAAAAAAATAACTGCAAAATGAATGAATATACCAAAATACATTATTCAACCACAAAAAAAAAAAAAGCCAGCAAAGGGGTTGATTGCCCAAAGAGCTAGCAATAGAAATAAAGCACAGTTTGCTAACTGACCATAATCTTTTTCTATGCAGTTTGTCAGCTCTCCCTAGCCTTTCCCTAAAGCAGCTTCTCAACACACTTGACACTGGCTGCTCTATGCTAACCCTTTTATAAGTGGGGGTTGACACATACAAAGACCCCATTATTGGCCCTTGTAAGCCAGCTTAACTAAGTTCAAAGACCAGTGCAGTGCACTATGGTTAAAAAGCATTATTCCCAACTAAATCCCACATTAGTTCGCAGGGACTACAAACAGACAGTATCCACCTCAAACCCATGGTAGATATGAACCTCATCCCTATATATGAAATATACTTTAATATAATTTTGTATATCATGTATCTTTAACAATTTTCTATCTTGCTGTATTAGTTCAATAGATTTTTGGAAGGAGAAAGTTTTTTATACTGTTTTTAGGTACAGCTAAAAATTAGCATTTTAACCAGTTGACATCCGCGGTGTTAAACCCCCTTCCCATCCAGGCCATTTTTCAGTATTCAGCGCTGCGGTACTTTGACATTTATTCCGTCATGCAGCGCTAGTGTTTCCACTTGTGCAGTCAAATTTGAGAA